AAGGAAATGGGTCTATAGTTTTCTTTTTTGGTTGTATCTTTACCAGGCTTTGGTATTAGAGTGATGCGGGCTTCATAGAAGGAATTTGGAAGTTCTCCCTCCATTTCTATCTTTTTGAATAAATTAAGTAGTATTGGATATAGATCTTCTTTACATGTCTGATAGAATTCTGCTGTAAATCCATCTGGTCCACAGTCCCCTTCTAAGTGGTGTGAGGGCCAATGTGACTGCACAGTTTGCACATCCATAAAGCAGATTTATTTATTTTTACTTTATGTGTATGTTTTGTCTACATGTATGTAAATGAACCCATGTCATGCAATGCCCACAGAGGTCACAGAAGGGCGTTAGATCACCTGGAACTGGAGTTACAGATGGTTGTTAGCCACTATCTGTGTGCAGGGAATCCAACCCAGGTCCTCTGCAAGAACAGCCAGTGTTCTTAACCAATGGGCCATCTCTTCAGCCACTACAATAAATACTTTTTTTTTTTTTTGGATTTTTTTGAGACAGATTCTCCCTGTAGCCACAGCTGGCCTGGAATTTGCTATGTAAAACAGGCCAACTTTGATCTCACAGAGATCCATCTGTCTCTGCCTCATGAGTGCTGGGATTAAAGATGTGAGCCACCATGCTCAGCAACAGTGCATACTCTCAACCAAATAACCAGGTCTAGATGATACACAGTTAGACAAAGATTTGATTTGGGCACCTAAGGGACACATGAAAACGTCTTTGTGTCTCAGACCCAAGTCCTCTTGAAACACCAGTTTTCTCCTCAAGGATTTGGAACCATTTTCTACCTAGAAATAAATAGAATTGAGAGCCGTCTGGTCCTCCTTTGTAATAACCTCTTTGTTTCTGAGTGTCCTTGCTGGAATGGAAATCTTCTGTTGAAAGTGAACAGCAGTTAGTTGGCAGAGGATCTTCTTAGACTCCTTGTTCTTTACCTACATCCAGTTCTGAAATGTCAGGTTAGTTCTTCTGTGCAATCACTCCTCTAGCAGGTGAGTTGCCCTCTTAAGTTCTCAGCCTCAAAGATCTTAAGCTCCGCACTAAACACCCATGTTTACTAACTATCCGTGGGTACACTTAAGTCACTGAGCTAACTCAGTTCAAGGCATGCATATTTTTTGTCCCTTGTTCTGGTGCTGTGGGAAAACAGCAGAACTGATAGAAAAATAGAAGCAGACCATCTGTTTTCTTCCCAGGGCTTCTATTTTCTCGGGACATATTGCTGAGAAGCACAGGAAACCTCAGGGAGATAATTGCTGGTGCCCACTGAGTGCTTGCTTTGCGCTGAGCTTCACGTGCATTTTATCCTCACACAGAACTCATGCTTCACATGAAACTCATTTACAACAAAGGAAGGTGCTTTCACAGCCTTATTTCAGATTTAAAAAGTGAGGCAGAGGGCTGACTAACCAACCCAAGATGTGAGAGTCAGTAGTATTATGGAAGAATCAAAACAGGAACCCGTGTAGTCTCTGTTTTGACTGTCTACGTACAGCACCACATCTTACTTTACAGTTCTGCCTAGGATTTCCAAAGAATAGGCAAGGCAGCCTGACCAGAGGAAAAAATAATTCAGGAATGTGGTCCTCCCACTGCCCAGGGAAAAGCTCCCAAGTGCAAACTGTAGCATTCCCATGTACCTACAGGGTGAAGGGTCAAACGTTCTGTGTAGTTCCTCAGAGGCGTGGAACACAGATCTGCACAGGCCTTTGTGCGTGACACAGCACCACTCACAAATGGACATTGCTTTATATCCATTGTGAAGTGAGCCACCAAGGAAGAGAAGATGCCTTTAAATATATTTAAAGACTTATTGTGGGCTGGGGAGATAACTCAATGGACAAAATACTGGCTGTTCAAGCATGACGACACGAGTTTAGAGCCCCAGAAGCTATGTGAAAAGGCAGGTGCTGCAGTAGTGTGTGACTGTAACCCTAGCTCTGGGGGACAAGAGGATCTTGGGAGGTCACTATCCAGCCAGGCCAGCCCAATTAATGACCTCCAGGCTCAGTTAGAGTCCTTGTCTCAAAAAATAAGGTGGAAAGGGTAAAAGTGATTGAGCATAGACATCCTGGTGTGTCAACTTCTGGCCTCCCCACACACTGCACCGGTGAGTACGTCTACGCACTCACATACTCACATGCACACTACTACTACTACTACTACTACTACTACTACTACTACTACTGCTACTAATACTACCACCACCACCACCACCACCACCACCACCACCAAATACTTTATAGTGGTATAGTTTATTACTTAAAAATATATATTATTTCTAATTTATGTGTATGAGTGTATCGCCTGCATGTATATAAGTGCACCCATATCGTGCAATGCCGATGGAGGTCAGAAGAGGATGTGAGATCCCCTGGAACTGGAGTTATGGATGGTTGTTAGCTGCCATGTAGATGCTGAGAATTGAACCCAGATCCTCTGCAAGAGCGTCCAGTGCTCTTAACTGCAGAGCCACCTCTTCAGCCCCTAGTTTACTACTTAAAAAAACATTTTTCTTGAATCTCTCCAGCACTATAAAATTTAGAGATTATGTGGGTGTGAGGGCTGCCAGGGATTATGAGGTAGGCGTGGAACCTCCTCTCTTTTCACTGGTGCTTTTGGGGTGACTCCAGCATGCCCTGTGAGCACAGTTCTCTCTGGAAACTGGAGGAAGTGTGTAGCACTTGTCAGGATTAATAAATGCATACTCAGCAGTCTTGGTTCTTCAGTTGCCCTTGTCTGCAATAACTTTCTGAGACAGACTAAAAGAAAACCTACATTCTCCAAATAAGGCCATTGTGAGGTAGCCAATCTAAAGACATCTGTGTCTCTACAAGTTTCTAGAATGTTTCCAAGACTCACCATACACCTGTGTAATGTGAAGAAGCATGCTTGTTTTCTTTTAAACAGAGCTAAGTTAATGTGAACTGGATTACCTTCTAGGTGTCCAGATTCTTGAAAGCCTTTGAGAAAAGTCCTGGGAGTTTCTTTGCACATTTAAATGATGGTGAATAAAAGAACTAAAGGACTAGGAAGTCTTGTCTGCATACTCATCTAAGAAATGGAAGCTAATTAAAATAATTTGTGATCGAGGTTTGAGTGATTATGAACAGAAAATTGTAAAGGAAAGTAGCCAAGTGACTCAGCCCCAAAGGCAGAAATGAGCAGCAGGCTCATGGGACTATGGGAGGACAAGTGTTGGACAATCATGAGCTTTTTTTTTTTTTGCCCTGCTGGGAACATCATTCTTGTCTGTGCTGCACTCTCAATGTGCCATAGACCAGTGCTTCACCCATTCCTGGGATTCAGAAACAGGCTCCACACAAGGTACCAAAACTGGGGAGAGTGTCAGGTCACTAGCATAAGACTGTAATGCTTATTGGCAAGAAAATGAGTACCAAGTAATTGAGGCTTTTATCCCATGAAAACTATACTAATACTATAAGCCTCTTTCTTTCAGTAATACTACCTTTTTATATAAGCCCAATATGCACTGTATATGAATTACTTGTATAATTGCAAAACTCTTAAGAATGTAGATATTCATGTTTTCAAAGAACTGTTTGAAATTCCTATTAATTGACTTTGACTATAGAGGGAATCCTTCGTATTCAAACATCTGTTCCAGGAACAAGCATTTATTTAACACTGATCACCCTTGGTACAAGGGATATGGGTGGAGAGGCAAAATTTAGAGATTGTGGCAGTAAATGGCCCATTTTTTTCTGTAACCAGTCTTTTCAGGGGAGAGATGTACAAGTCCTTGGTCCTTTCTGAATTTGTATTAGGTTACATTTCCTCTTCAATGTGCAGGGCCTATTACTCTATGAAAGCAAATGTTGAATATGGTAAGTCCAGGTAAAGAGCGTGCTTGTGGGATAGCACTCTAAAGAGAAGCTTGTCTGATCTTAAGAAGATAATTGGTTTAGGCAACTAGTTTAAGCTTCCTTAACCAATGGTGTTGATGATGTGTAGTGTTTCTGAAGGAGATAGAACTCTTTTATCATCTGAGACACAATTCTTGGTGACTACATTCTTGAAACGTGTTAGGATTTCAGAAACTTTAAGATCACGTAAAAAGAGAGGGGCAAGAGAACAATGCTTTGAACTATAAAGGGCTTTGGAATGAAGTTCTGCTCCTCAGCACTAACAAAGGGGGGCATGTAAAGTCTGTGGGTCTCTGGTCTACTCTGCTTTCTCTTCCACCTCACTGCTTTTCCTCTCTCTTTCTAACATCTCTCACCAGGGTATGGGAACATTGCTCCAAGCACCGAAGGAGGCAAAATCTTTTGTATTTTGTATGCCATCTTTGGGATTCCACTTTTTGGTTTCTTATTGGCTGGAATTGGAGACCAACTTGGAACGATCTTTGGGAAAAGCATTGCAAGAGTGGAGAAGGTCTTTCGAGTGAGTACTGCACCTGTTTAAACACTAACTACATGATTCACTTGACTTTGGCCCGATAGGGGTAGAAGTCAACACAGAGGTCCTGCTCTTTGTGTGAAATAGTGTTATTTTCCGTTTATGTTTTCTATTGTGGCCAATAGTACCCAGAGGCCTGTGCCTTTCTTTTGAGTAGATTTCTGCTTTTCAGTGGTACTTACAGGATCACAGGAAAGCTAACTATGGATCACCAACATAGACTTCTGAGGTGAGGCACACAGTGTCTTGGTCTGTTTCTGTTGCTATAGTGAAATACTTGAGGCAAGATGATATATAAACAATAGAATTTATTTTCCATAGGATGGAGACTGAGTGTGTAAGATCAAGGTTTCACCATCTGGTGAGGGGCCATTTTCCCCTTTCAAGGTGATGATTGTTATTGTAACTTCTGCAGGAAAGACTGCTAAGACCTCATGTGGTGGCACCATAGAAAGGAAAAAGGGCTCTCAGCATTGGGTGAAGCCTTTTTTATAAAGGGTGAGCCTTTACCTCATTGGTGAAGGGGGACCCCTCATATTGTAATCACCTTTATAGGGTTCTGCCTTTTAATATGGTTACACTGGCTACTAATTTTCAATACCTGACACATTTAAATCACAACACCCAACTTTAAATTTCCTTTAAAGATGGAAGATGGTGGGCTGACTGGCTAGATGACCCAATGGGTAAAGGCACCTGCCTGCAAGCCTGACTACCTGAGTTCAATCCCCAGGACCCACATGGTAGGGAGGAGAGAACTGACCCCTGCAGGTTGTCCTCTGACCTCTATCTATGCACTGTGGCATGTATATGCACACACATACACATAACTAAGAAATAAAAAATTTAAAAAGTAAAATGATGAAAGATGGTTTTCTTAATGCTTTTGCAATGAAACAGAGAAATATAAATCTATCTATTTTGTTATTAGAATGCCTTCACTCATTTTATTTCCACATACAGTGTCTCCAGGCTGATCTTGGTTTCTTCTAAAAGCTGAACTTCTCTGATCTCCGTCTGTGCTTTGTACCTGCCTCCTGGTGTCTCTTCCCTGTCCTGCTGAACATTCCCTCAGCACAACAGCATACTAGTGGTCTACTTTATGCTAAGGTGTGGAGGACTGTTATTACTTTAGTGAATTTTTTTCTCTTAGAAACATTTACTTTTAGGGGTTGGAAAGAGGGCTCAGTGGTTAGGAGTGCTGGCTGCTCTTGCAGAGGACCTGGGTTTGAGTCCCAGCACCCACATGGCAGTTAACAACCGTCTGTAACTCCAGTTCCAGAGGATCCCGATGCCTTCTTCTGACCTCCACAAGCATTGCACAACATGGGCGCACTTACACACATGCAGGCATACACTCATATACATAAAAAATAAAATAAATAAAATATTTTTAAAAAAGGACTATTTACTTTTAAACAAAGGACAAAAGTCTTAATCCTAGCAATGCATTTCCTAAAGATGTGATGCTTGGCCTTGGTGACAGGCATGCCAAGTGGGTTTGGTTGCAACATTTAGGTTCCCAATACCCTTAAACACACACTCATTCATTTGATCTCACGGAACTCATGGTTAGCTTAGGCATAAGTAAAGTCATTTCTGCTCCCCTATTCAATATTATGCAATTCTCAGTCTTCTGGTCCTTCCTCAGATAATTCTTTCCTAGGATAGCTTACTTGGTGACAGGCATGCCAAGTGGGTTTGGTTGCAACATTTAGGTTCCCAATACCCTTAAACACACACTCATTCATTTGATCTCACGGAACTCATGGTTAGCTTAGGCATAAGTAAAGTCATTTCTGCTCCCCTATTCAATATTATGCAATTCTCAGTCTTCTGGTCCTTCCTCAGATAATTCTTTCCTAGGATAGCTTATTCTCTTCTCTTTCTCTCT